TGAGATGGAGTCTTGCTCTGTCACACAGGCTGGAGTGCAGTATCGTGATCTCAGCTCACTGCAAACTCCACCTCCCAGGTTCAAGCAATTCTCCCACCTCAGCCTCCTGAGTAGCTGGGACTACAGGCACTCACGACCATGCCCAGCTAATATTTGTATTTCTAGTAGAGACGGAGTTTCACCATGTTGGCCAGGCTGGTCTTGAACTCCTGGCCTCAGGTGATTCTGCCTGCCTCAGCCTCCCAACGTGCTGTGATTATAGGCATGAGCTACCGTGCCCAACTCCCGGGACTTAATTCTGATCAGTAACAGAACGCAGATTCTGCAAAGGTCACATTATTTAGTCCCTTTTAAGATCTCCTCTCTTCTCAATAGCTGCCTCAAAATCAGGACAGAAGTCAAACTCAGTCAGTTATAGGCCTGAAGATTTCTTTTGTGAGATCAACTGTGAAATATTGAACGTTTCATGGTCCATAACTTGCTCTAACAGCATTCTGCTGGGAGCTGGAGACTTGGGCCACAAGCCACGCACACTGCTTGTCTTCTGGTGCTCGAGACATGGCTATGGCCTTTGGCCAGACCTCCAAGGCACAGTGCACCCCTCCTTTCTCACTCTGCCTGAGCGCAGGACGTACCCTGGGCTGGCCTGGTGAGGAGGCAGGGTCAGCTTTCACCATGCAAGCACTTTTGGCAAAACCTGTGCCCACCGGCCCGCTTTCTCAATGGGCAGCTAGAGTCTAAGCTGTGGAGGCTTCCACCCAGGCAGGAGTCAGTCCTGGGGGACATTCCACAGTGTTTCAGGGCTCTGAACCCAGGTCGTGTGGTCCTCTTGGCCATCACAGCCCTTCTGCTGCCTCCAGGAGGGGCTGTCTGTGGCCTAGCCTTCCTCCTTCAACAGCTACCCCAATAGGGAAGGCACAGGCACAGTTTCCCTCGGGACCTCACTCCAGGTGTCCTGCCTTCCAGGACAAGTTCACTCCAGTCATCTAACCCCAGCGCCTTCCAATGCATGTGACCATTTCTTCCTGCTCTAACACAGCAAAAGTAACAGCTGGCATCAGCTGTGTGCCAGCCATACACAGTTACTACGTACGGATTCTCTGCATATTATCTTGCTTACTCCTTACAATCACCCACAAAGCAGTTATTGTTGGCCTCGCTTTTACAGATGGAGAATCAGAGGCTAAGCCCTTTGACGCAGCTAGAATCAGAGAAATCCAATGCTACTTCTCAAGCCTGTGTTGCTCCCACTGCGATCGTATCTGTTTACTTGGCAAACAGGAACACAGGTGTCGCTTGGCCTCATCTCCTCTTCTTTGGTTTTCGTCTCTTTAAAACAATTTTCTGACAGATTCTGCTTTTCACCCAAAGCCAAAACATAACCCCAAACTCCGACATTCTTCTATGGCCTGCACACTTACTGGCTGTGCTTCTACCAACACATCCTAGGATCTCCCTCTCTCTCTCTCTCTCTCTTTTTTTTTTTTTTTTTTAAGACAGAGTCTCCCTCTGTTACCCAGGCTGGAGTGCAGTGGCATGATCTCAGCTCGTTGCAACCTCCACCTCCTGGGTTCAAGCAATTCTCCTGCCTCCGCCTCCCAAGTAGCTGGAATTATAGTCACTGGCTACCATGCCCAGCTAATTTTTGTATTTTTAGTAGAGATGAGGTTTCACTGTGTTGGCCAGGCTGGTCTCAAACTGTTGACCTCGCGATCCACCCGCCTTAGCCTCCCAAAGTGCTAGGATTATAAGCATAAGGCATCGTGCCCGGCCCTGATCTCCCTCTCTTTTTAAACATCTAGACCACATCAGAACCATAAGGTCCTTGGAGAAGTTCCCATTTTCTAGTAGCCACAGATTGCTCCACTTGAGCCTCAGATCACCACCCTCTAGCTCACGAATTTTCAGAAGAGACCCAGTTTGCAGGAGACAACCATATTTTGCCAGCACAGAAATGGGACCGGAAAGGGGATTTGAGAGGCATCCCAGTGGGGCCATGCTGGGAGGAAGGCAGCAGGAATATGGGACTTAGGAATATGATATGGGGCGCAGATGTATTCCGGGAACCAGGTCTATGAGGAATGGCCTTCTTGGGTTGCAATAAATGTACCTATTTTGCTTCTGATATAATCTGCTCGATCAGTGTTGCTAGAGATGAGCAAAAATTCATGGCCTGGAGGCAATTAATCTACAGTGGGAAGATGCAGTCAAGGACGGCATCTGTGACTATGCATGTGGGAACCAGAAACCCGGGAGGCTGTGGAACCCAAGTTTACAGGGTTGCATATGGTGTGATAAGGGCCAAAGCTTTAAGACTCAGACAACTTGTCCCTAGAACAGGATGCCCTGGCTGGGATTGGGTATCAAGGTGAAGAGTCAAAATATTTCACAACAGACATGATCAGGCACCATGCCAGCTGGGCTGCAGCCCTGGAGGAGGGACAGGCATTCATCCTTCATGGGGGCATTAGAAGAGCCATGCGGTAAGGACCAGGGGAGCACTCGGGGACTTGGAGCTCAAAGCAAGAACTGTTTCGGAAACAGTACAGAGGTATATTTCGCCACTTTGACAGCCAATACAGCTGGGCCAGGGAGGACAGGCTGGACAGCAGTTTTCTGGGAAGCCAGGGGAGAGAGAGGGCCTCGCTGTTCATGCTACAGACACACGGCCCCAGCCCATTCCCCAGCCTGGACTCTGGGGTTGATCTTACCAGAACTCCACTGCCCCCTGGGGACCTACAGGGAACTGTGGGACCTTGTCAGCTCATGTGGAAAAGAGGCAGCCCCTTGAATCTCAGGACTGGCTATGATGCAATCCAATGCTGCCCCTTCCCACCCCTAATTTGATAGATATGACCTTTGGCGGGGGTGAGGGTGGGAACAAAATGTAAGACTCTGCTGTGGCGGGCCCAGCTGGGCTGTGCTCTAGGTGTTGTGCAGATGCTCTTATCTAACCCTCCAACCACCACCGAGGAAGGCATCATCGCCCCTGCTTGGGGGGAAAGCCGAGTTTAGAGAGGTTATATCTCACACAGGCGCATACAGCCTGGGAGTGGCAGAGCCAGGACTTGGTGCAGGTCTCCAGGGCCCATGCACTCCGTCCACCCCGGCTCTCACCAGGAATGTACAGCACCGGCCAGCACCTTGCTCCGAGCCATGTGCTAGACCCATCAGTAGCAGAGACAGGAGGAAAAGCCTCAGTTTCCAAATTGGAGCTCTTCCTATACCCCAAGAATATAGCTATTACCACAAATCAGTCAAAAGAATACTTAATTACAGAAGGGCTCCCAAGGTCAGGCGCCTGGGTGGGAGCGGGGTCTGGGGAAGGGTCTGACAACCATGTTTCAGAAGTGGTGGGTCTGATGCCCATCCCTGAGCCAGACATTCCCTCAGCAAACCATCCCATGAGTTCTGGGGAGCCTGGAGAGGGGGAAGATGGCTCCTGTGGAGCCTGTGAGAACTTCCTCCCCAGCACTTCTCAGGTCAGGCCAGGTGGATGATGCCACCTCCTCCTCCCTAGAGAGCTGGGTGTACCCTTCAGTTCCTTGCAACACCTGTGTCAGAGTTAGCCCAGCCTTGTGCTGTCTTCCAGAATGTGTGGGCCCTCTCTTAAGGATATCATTGGGAGGGGACATCATGGGACTCTAATACACGTCCCAGCCACTCTGAGCAATGTCCCAGACTAAGGGTCAACTGGGAGGAGCTACTATGGCCGTTTTCCTTTTTATCACCAGGCTAGTTGAATGGTCAGGGCAAGAAATCCTGGTACCAACATGGACCTGCCAGGGCTGACAGGGACAAGCGCAGCTCATGGAGATGCTCCTGAAGCCATACTTGGGATCCTGGACTCTCAGCTGTTTCACTGCCCCCTTTGAGGTAAGCTCTGTCACCTCTGTAGAAGATCTCTACTAGCCCAAGCTCTTGGAGGCTCAAAAAGATTGGCAGGAACAATCACTGGCCAGAGGCCCTTCCAGCCATCCAAGTACTACAGGGAAACCAGGGCACAGCCCAGGAGGCAGTGTCTACCTGGCCTTCACAGCGGGGGCACTGGCCACCATCTGGCACGGAGCTCCCCGCCTTGGGCTCCTTGGAGACCGAACAGGGTCTCTATCTCCTCCACCAAGGGACAAGGGACTTTCAGGGCATCACTCATGTCATTCAATGATTCGTTAGGAGCCAGGGGGGAGGCCCTGGGGAGGGTGATGAGGAGGAAATGCTGCCCTCCAGGAGCCAGCTAATGATCCTTCCCAAGGGAAGCCTACAGCAGATTGAAGCATTGAGGCCATCTCCCTATTGCCTAGTTGGGGAAACTGAGCCAGGGCTGGTTTAGAGCCCCAGCAACCTGATTCATGAACCCAGAGGTCTCCCTGTGAGGCTGTGAAGAGTTGGTTGGACCCAGGAACCTTGGCTATAAACCCAGGTGGGCAGCTTTGTGGCTGATAGCAACAGATTGACAAGGCCACCAATTCTCACCATACACTATACCATACTCTTGCATAGCGTAGAAGCTTAGGAGGTTTACAAGGTTAATACCTGCTTGCCATTAGGGCAGGCCACATGTGGCTCCGTCTGGCATACTGTCTACCCTGGTGCTGGCCTGGCTCCAGGAGGCCCCAAGCCACTGCGTGGTACCTTGAAACGCTTGAGGGTACCTTCAGCCGGGCCATCTCCCCAGGAGCCCTGGCCTCAAATGGGCTAAACCGCTTCCCCCAGGTTTTAGGATGAGGCTCCCTGAGCCCAAGTCCCTAGGACGTCCAGTGCCCACCAGCCCTCCCTGAGGACTGTCTCTTGTCCTCAGCTCCCGCCCCTGCCCCTCGCTGCCTGGCCATGCCTCACTGGACCTCAGCCTCTGGTCCTAGCCACAGAGCACCCCTCCCTCACCTTCAAGGCACCGGTGGCCGGGGGCCTGCCATCTTCTGCTTGGCATGGGTCAGTCAGGGAATGGGAGACCCAGGCAGGCATCTGCCTCAGGAGCATTGCGGCGGCTCTCCAGCTGGGTGGCAAGATCAGGAACTTATGGAACTTATACTCTGACTCAGAACTCCACCCTCCGGGCTGCAGCTTGGCAGCATTGGGATTGCCCTGGGAGTGGTTTGGGTGTGTAGACAGATAGGGTACTTGGGCCTAGATCTCTCAGTATCAAGGAAATCACAGGTCTTCCGGTCACAGAAATACAGGGACCCACAGGGCTCTGGCCCTTGGGGTCAGCAGTCTATAGCCCCCAGCCACCCAGAATGACCAGGCCTTTGAGGGCATAGGGTGGCAAGAAGAGGACACTGAACCCACACGACTGTAGGACTAGCCCCGCCATAATTTAGGAAACCTCTATCTCTTCGGGTCATAGAGGTCATGGCTCATAGATGCTCCTCTAGGAAGATGGGACCCTCACTCCCAACACCACTTCAGTGTCATGGCTTGTTGAAGCGTCACAGGGTCCCTGACCACAACTCCAACAGAGACCAAGGTTCGGGCTTCCAAAGTTACAGGGTGAAGAAAGAAAACAATTGCCCAAAACTTGGTGAGAAGAGGGTCCAGGGCAACTGCCCCCTGTCCTCCCTCCTGGTGGACAGAGGGCGTGTCCACCTCCTGCCTGGTCTCAGGACAGCCTGGAGGATGCACCTGCCCCGCCCAGATGATTCTTATCTCTAGCCTGGTGGTTCACACGGGGGCCTGACAAGGGTAGGGTGGCTTTGCCTGCTCAGCTGCCTGACTGTATACACTGGGAGTTTCCTACCTGAGCTATTGCCTGGGGCCCCACAACCGGCTTTTCTGGCCCATAGATAGAAGTGCTTTTTTGGAATTGAGGATGAGATCTGAACACGGGATAGACTGGGCCTGAACACAGGGATGGCACCTGGATGGGGGTACCTCTGGGACCTCTTCATGTGCCTGGCCCTCCAGAGAGTGGAGGGGCCTTAGCCTGCTGCACTCCCAGTTTCCTTCCTTGCCCTGCCCTCCCCTCCTCTGTCAAGGATGGAGACTCAGCACCACATCCCTCAGCAGACTCCACAAATTCCATTTAGTTCATGTACCTAGTAAGCACCTGCTGTATACATCTTACTAAGAGAGGAAATTCTAAGCTTGAAGTTGCTGACAGTCTGGCTGGAGAGCCAGATGCATCCAACCCCTCAAAGGCTCAGAGATCCAAGTTTCCCTATGGTGAGAAGGGGCATCTTAGAAGGATCAATATAAATCCTTTGTGTTTGTGAAGATCCATGGTTTACAGCAGCAGTCCCAACCCTTTTAGCGCCAGGGACTGGTTTCATGGAAAACAGTTTTCCTATGGACCAGGTTGAGGGGGATGGTTTTGGGATGCTTCAATTGCCTTACATTTATTGTGCATTTTATTTCTATTATTATTACATTGTCTTATATCATGAAATAATCATACAGCTCACCATAATGTAGAATCAGTGGGAGCCCTGAATTCGTTTTCCTGCAACTAGATGGTTCCATCTTGGGGTGATGGGAGACAGCGACAGTTCATCAGGTGTCAGGTTCTCACAAGGAGTATACAACCTAGATCCCTTGCGTGTACAGTTCACAGTAGGGTTTGTTCTCCTGTGAGAATCTCACGCCCCTGCTGATCTGATGGAAGGTAGAGCTCGGGCAGTAAGACTAGCGATGGGGGGCGGCAGTAAATACAGATGAAGCTTTGCTCACTCTCCCACTGTTTACCACCTGCTGTGCGGCCCGGTTTGGAACAGGCTGTGAACTAGTGCTGGTCTATGGCCAGGGGGTTGGGGGCCCCTGGTTTCCAGAGCTCTGCCACACAAGAACTGGCTAGGAAACACAGAGGATGGAAAATGGATTCCAGCTGGAGTTGGAAAGAGTGGATCTGAAAAGGCCTCACAGAGGAGGTGACATCTGAATTGGGCTTTAGATGAGGGATGGGATTTCAACAGCGATTGAGCCTGGGGACCACTAGGAGGAAGAAAAAGGCATCCTAGGAGGAAGGAACAGCATGAACATGAACAGGGAGGCCAGAAAGCAAGGCACGCTTAGGTATGCAGGTGGTCTGGTGTCTGTGCAATGAGGTGTATGGGAGGAGATACAGAGCATAGATAGTGGAACACAGGGGTGGTAGAAATTGGACAGAAAGAGGAAGGCTTTGTGAAAGATCAAATCTGGAAAACACCAGGGTAAGGCCGCTCTGCTCTCTGGAGGGCCAGGCACACAAAGAGGTCCCACAGACACCACAAACTGGGTTCTAGCCCTGCATTCGGACCCAGTCTGCCCTGCGTTGAGATGTCACCCTTAGTTCCATAAAAGCACTAGATTAGGATCCAACAATCATGACCTTAAAAGGCCATACTTTAAATTTGGACTTCCTCTCTAAGCAGTAGGGGGCTATTGATGGTTTTTGAGCAGGAGAGCTGAAATTTAAGAAGGCAAGTCTGATTGATGTTGAAACAAGGGATCATTTAGGAGATGAGATGTGAACCATCTGGGATAGGGGAAATAGGGTGAGAAGTTAATAGAGAAGTAGGGCCAGAACAGGCTTTACAAGCTAAGTCCAGGAACTTTTGTGGTAACCCAACTCACAGCACTACATGGTCCTGAAAGTCATGGGGTCCCATCTGTCTCCCCATCCCTTCGCTCCCCTACCCTTCCCAATCAAATAGGCCCAGGGTGAGCCCCAAACACAGGGCCTGTGATTTGGTCTCTACTCACTGAAGAAGCCCAGCCACAAACCCCCACTCCACCCTCATCCGTTCCACATGATGTGTGGAAAATCTAGGTTTCCAACTCTTATGCTTCCTCGTTGTCTATCAACTCCTCCAAATCAGGATCTCAACTCATTTTGGTTGAATTAAATCAATTTGAATAGGGGCTGATGGGAGGTCCATGGAAGTTTCTTCCCCTACACCCTTCCTGGTGCCTCTCTTCCAGGTGGGAGCCAGTGTCACCTTGAACTAAGTGGACCAATCTACCAGAAAGTATTTGCCAACCACCTGCTGGGTGCCCACCTCTGTACTGACCACTCCAGTGGGGTCTGGAATAAAACCATGAATGTATAACCTAGAAAGAGGAAGAGTGGGGGCAAAATTAAAGAGTAAATTGTCCAATGTGGGCTCTAAATGGAACAGGAGGGGAGCAGAGGACTGGGGTAGGTGGAAGTGGGCTGGGATGGTGAGTAAGGAGTGTCAGGAAAACAGCAATGTCCCCATGCCAGGGGTGTGTGTGCCAAAGCAATGATCTTGGTATATACAACTGCTGCTCCAAGTCAAGTCTCCTTTTGCCAGAGTTCCTTCCGTGTGCAAATTCTGAACCTGTCTCTGTGACAAGGGGAAGGAATAGTTCCTTTCCACCCAGCACTGATGAACAGGGAGCCCCAGGATTCTCAGATACCCTGGCCTGGCCTACTTGGGCCCAGCCTTGCTGCTGTGTGTGCTGAGGCCTCTGACTCCAGCCCTGTCCCCAGGCTTGCTAACTGGCACTTCAGCTGGGGTTACCACGTGCTGCCTCTGCTAGCAGCCTCTTGGCCTCAGGTAACCCGATACTGAAAAGCACATTCCTCCCAGAAGCCTAGTGGATGCCACTCCCCTGTGGGCCTAGCAAGGATGACTTCTCACTGTCCTCTTTCCAGGCGCCTCAGGGGCCTGTCCCTTCCTTCCCACCTCTTCAGCAGCACCTGTCTCCAGCCTCCTCCCTGCCTCCTGCAGCCTGCAAGCTTTAGAAACACCCCTTCAACCTCTGGTTCTTCTGCTGAAATGCACCTAACGCTTTTCTAGTCTTTGCCAATAAACTCTGGATTCCAATACCTTCCATAAACCAGGTGGGGCCCAGGAGCCGCTCTACGTATATATGGAATTTTAGCATTCAACAAAGGAAGTATGTGAAATCAGTGGTGAAGTGTAAGAATAAGCGGAAAGAAAAATGAAAGGTGGCTTGCCAGTCACGACAGGTTTATTTTAGAGAAAACAAACCTGAGAGGGGCTTCTGGACAAGTTAGGTGAGAGGCATGCTCTCTTACAGACCAAGAGTTTTTAAGGATTCAGGGTGGGAGAGTTTATCAGAGGCTTGGACTGCTTCTGTGTCTCTTTCTTGTGCTTATCTGAAAGGGAGAGTTGTGTGTCTGTTCCCATACATCTTTCCACAGCTGCTTTTAGCTTCCCTATCTTAGTGCACCTGAAGGGAAAGGAATGTACTTATTAAGGCCACTGTTTTACTGGGGCCCATTGTATGAGGGTGAAGTTTGGCAGTTACCCAAAAGGCTTTTCCCCCACCTCCCTCTGTCCAAGCTGTCTTATCTGTGTTTTACTATCTGCTCTTTATGTCTGCTTGTAGCTAGAAGAGAAGTAATTTCCTTGAAATGCATGAAGCTAGAAAGGGAGCTGGAACTAAAAGTGGCAGTGTTTGTCTGAGATGATGGTACTCCTGCTCTGTCAGAAAGGATGGACTGTTCATTCTTGGAAAAAGTAGCTTACCGTTTGGAATAACATCCAATTAGATCCTCACTTCATAACTTCACAAAAATAAATTCCAGATAGCTTAAATATCTAACCATTAAAATAAAACTATAAATGCTCTAAAATAAAATGTGAGAGTACATTTATATAATATTGGGTGGAGGAGAATCTTCCTAAATAAGGTATAAACCTGGAAGCCAATAGGAAAATACTGCTGGATTTGAATATACAGAAAGTTAAAACTTTGGTAAAGCAAAAGTTGCCATAAGCAGAGTTCTACCTCTACGGTATAGCTTACATTTCCCCTCTTAATAAATATCCATGGGTAACAAGATCACCTTTAAAAAAAAGAGAGAGAGAAAAATCTTATCCTTCCAGATACTACGATAAATTACAAAGCCATACTAATACAAACAGTATATTGTTGGCACAAGAATAGGGCCGATGGGAACAAGACAGAGGGATCAGAGACAGACCCCTGCTTTTCAAGGGAACTTAATAGATGATAAAATTAACACCACAAGTCAATGGGAAGAAACAAACTTTTAACGGTTGACATGGCAA